CTTGCCTGGGCGAAGAATTGTCAACGGAATTGCAAAAGAAACGCACGTACATTCACATCTTTTGAAACCTCATCTTTTGAAGCAAATGTACGATTCCCACCTTTTCAGCTTACAATTTCCTGACCCCCAAAAGCTTGACCCCCACGTTGGACGCCCACTTGATCTGGGATACATTTGGTATGGGGTAAATCTGGTGTGGGCCCCCGACGCACGAACCAGGAGCTATCCCTGACCCTTCCGATGTTTCGGGAATAGTGGGGCGCCCGAATGATTCGGGTCAGCTCTGGTCTGGTGCAACTCAGGTCTGGACCCCGGGGCAAGAATCAGGAGCTTTACCCTGACCACCCCCAAGCCCCGATGATACGGGGCTCTGATCATTAGCATAAGGGAAGAAATAATTGGAACAACAAAAACTTTCGGGGGCCCGCGCAAATTTATTGGATTTTCGCTGGATCCCCCTCCGTGGCGCGTCGAACGTGCGGAAGCCCAGCGCAGGTCCAAAACATCCGCGCGGACCGTCGGCACTTTATTTCCACGCAATTGTTCTTAGTTCTTGTGCTTAGGGCGTCTCACTTCTGGAATAAGGAACTGGGCGTGGGGGTCGGTCTGGCGGCTGTATAGTCGCCGTCGCCGTCGACCCCCGCCACCGCCTCGTCGCCGCATAGACTCTCCTTGTCTAAAACACTAATAGATTATACCCCCCTCCCCCCGCGGACTTATCGCCTCCCCCTGGGATAGTATGATTTCACATATATATATATACACACTGCACACTCGTCCATCCTAAATTTGAAATCGTACCATCCCAGCCAAACCGGGTTCCCCCCCTGAGGTTCCCTTGTAAAAAGCACTATGCGGTGACATGTTTTGTTCTAACATAAGACTTGTTCACGAATCCCTTGCCGAAAACATGAGACGAAGTGCACACGCGCGCGTCGCCGCGCGCGCATGCCGAAATCCTTCAAAAACCTTCGGTGCGGGAAGGATTTCGCAATCGACTTTCCAAAACAACATACAAAAACACAAGGTTTCGGAACACAGAGTTGCTAAAACAGCTTCCGCGGAAGCTCTTGCGAAATCTTGAGAAGACCATAGGTCTTTCAAGATTTTCACAAAATGCTACCAAACGGGCTTCGCGCGCGCTCATGTCGAAATCTGTCGAACGCCCTTGCGCGTGTGCCGTCGCGAGTCCCCTGCAAAAAACAGTACGAAGTGCAGACGCGCGCGTCGTCGCGCGCGTATGCCGAAAACCTTCAAAACGCATCGGTTTCGGAAGGATTTCAAAATCGTGTATCCAATAAACATACAAAACACAAGGTTTCGCAACACGGATGTTCAACAAAAGCGTGCGCGCGCGCTCTTGCGTCGTCGTAGTCGTCGTCGCCGTCCTCCCTCCTCCCGCGTCGTTGTCGTCGTCGTCGTCGCCTACGTCGTCCTCTGTCTTTCCTCGTGTTCGTCGTCGTCGTCCTCTTTGGCGTCGTGGTCGTTTCCGTCGTCGTTGTCGCCGTGGTCGTCCTTCCTCCTCCTCCCTCGTCGTCGTCGTCGTCCGTCGTCGGCGTCTCGTCGTCGTCCCTCCTATTTCGTCGCCGTCGTCGTCGTCGTCGTCGTCGTCTTCCCTCCTCCCTCGTCGTTGTCGTCGTCGGCGTCGCCGTCCTTCCTCCTTCTTCGTCGTTCGCGTCGTCGCCGTCCTCCCTCCTCCCTCGTCGTTGTCGTCGTTGTCGCCGTCGTCGTCCTCCCTCCTCCCTCGTTCGTCTTCGTTGGCGACGTCGTCGTCGTCTTCGTCGTCGTCGTCGGCGTCGGCGTCGTTGTCGTCTTCGTCGTCGTCGACGTCGGCGTCGTCGTCGTCGCCGCCGTCGTCGTCGTCGTCGTCGTCGGCGTCGTTGACGTCGTCGCCGTCGTCGTCGGTGTCGTCGTCATCGTCGTCGTCGGCGTCGTCATCGTCGTCGTTGTCATCGTCGTCGTCGTCGGCGTTGGTGTCGTCGTCGTCGTCGTCGGTGTCGTAGTCGTCGTCGTCGTTGTCGGCGTCGTCGAAGTCGTTGGAGACATCGTCGGTGTCGTCGTAGTCGTTGTCGGCGGCGGCGTCATCGTCGTTGTCGCTGTCGTCGTCGGCGTCGCTGTTGTTGCCAAGTGCCATGTGGTACCCACCGTCACGGTCTTAAGAGATTTTGCAAAACAAGTTGCGGGTGGGTGGGTGGGATGTTTGCGCGAGCAGTGGAGTGGACAACTCACTGCGAACAGAAATATTGCACAACGTAGATTGCATCGCGTAGATTGCGCGCCATGTAGATAACAACACAAATTGCGCCACGTAGATTGCACCGCATATATTGCGCACAATATTGCATTCCTTTCTAAAAAACAAAATAGGATCTCCCCCCCCCCCGGCGTCATCACTCCCTCTATCGGGTATGTAAATCACATACGATTCTGACCACATGTCCGTCCTGAAAATGAATCTACACTATCCCAGGGGGGCCGATATCCCCCCCGCCCTGAGGGT